AACATTGACTTTAAGCTGATTGATAATCTTCAACCTGAGAGCATCAATGGTTCCATCATTCATCAATGACTCCAACACATCTTCTGGGGTTATTACCGATGATGATCTCATCTTTTAATTCGAACGAAAAGAAACAAATTTAAGAAAATTTAATTCCTTCAACACTATGCCTGAAAAAAAAGGAAGAAATTGAATCTTATAAGCTCTTGAAGCTTCGGCATAGGAAAAAGTTGGGTACTTTGAAAAGAAAGCAAACAAAACATAAAAAAGGAGGAGGAGGAGAAGAACTTTCGAGATGGTTCGGGGAATTAGCGTACCTTTTCGTCTCTGAATCCACAAAATAATAATCAAACGATGATCAAGTAGTTGTTCATCCTAGCATAACACGCGTATATATTGATTTGGCGGAGTCCATCTCTGCCAAACGACGTCGTTTGCAAATGCTTTTCAATCTATTTATTAAACTCCTAGTCGTTGAGTTGGAAAATAATAACCTCATTTAGAATTATAATATTACTTCAAGTATGGTATTGTGTTTTTATACTTAAATAATATTCAAATAAAATTAATCAGATTTACTATTTTAAATTTAAATGAATGATGAAAATCTTTTAAAATAAAAGAGATATACGTAGAGAAAATAGATATATGTGTATCAATATTATTTATTTTGATGAGTACATGAACCCCATATATATATATATATATATATATATATATATAAGAGGTAAGGAATACTCTCTAATAATTATAATATATATAAAGAGTCGAGTCTTTTGACATTTTATCTTCTCAATTCATTGAAGAATACTAAAAGCCACATTAATTAATAGGAGTTATAATGACACTCCCCTTGGATGCTCATTATCTAATTGTGTCTCGTTAAACTTTACTAGGAAAAACCTAGTGAAAGAAAAGAGTCCATAATTATACGCTTGATTTGATGCCTCATTAAAAACTTTACCTGGAAACTCAGGGGGAAAATCAAGGTTAAAGGAAAAAGAGTACAACTCGTATTTACTCCCCTAATGGCTACATCACTTGAAATCTCAAAGGTGACGCATTCCAATGTAGTGTAATAACTTCTGAAACACAGATGTAGGAAGTGTCTTAGTGAATAAATCTGTCAAATTCTCACTTGAACTGATCTGATTAGCTTTGATCTCTTTAAGCTTTTAAGGTCACGAGTGAAGAAGAATTTAGGTACAATATGTTTTCCTCTATCACCTTTGATGTACCCACTCTTGAGTTGTTTAATGCATGTTGTATTATCTTCAAACAAGACAACATCAACTTCTTTTCCAGATGATAAACCACAATTATTCTGTATGTGTTGAATCATAGATCTTAGCCAAACACATTCACGACTAGCTTCATGGATTGCTAAGATTTTTACATGATTAGAAGAAGTTGTTGCAATCGTTTGCTTCATGGAGCGCCAAGAGATTGGTGTTACTACCATATGTAAAAATATATCTAGTATGTGATTTACCATTATGAGGATCTGACATAAATCATGTATATGCAAAATCAATCAACTTTGTTTTGGATTTATTATGAAAAACAAACCTATATCTTTTGTGACTCGGAAATAACGATATACTTGCTTAACTCCAGTCCAACATCTTCGAGTTGGGTATAAGCTAAATCTTGCCAGCAAATTTACAGAAATGATATATCGGGTCAGGTATGACTGGCAAGATACATCAATGCTCCAATTGCACTGAGGTATGATACTTCAGGACCAAGAAAAACTTCATCATCTTTCCGAGGATGGAAAGGATCTTTACTTGGTTCAAATGCTCTTACAACCATTGGGTAGTCACTAGATGTACCTTATTCATATAAAATCGCTTTAGTACTTTTTGTATATATGTTAATTGATGCATAAGGATTTTATGTTTTAGGTGCTCAGTTTATAACCCCAAACTTCTTTATAAAAGGGTTATAAGAGTGCTCTCTTAGCATGTGAGAGATATTGGGATCAATACTCTGCATCTTCGTTTGGTTTTTAACTTTCACTCTATTTCGTGATCAACTCTATGATCATTGACACCACTATAGCCTCTGGGTTTTGATGTTTAGATCTCATAATTGCTGGATCTAGAGCAAAATGAGATGGAAAAATACTATATTTTATTTATTTGAACTTTGGCAAAGACGAATCAAGGTTACAGCCTCGGCTCTTGTCCCCGTCTTATGAATAGCCCTCACATACTTGACTATTTTCACACATTTTACGCCTACCCACCGAAGCCTTTTTTCTGATAATTCTTTCAACTGCTCTTGTTTAGCCAAAATATATATATATATATAGCAAGCATTGATCTTGAGTAAGGATTTCTTGCGCAGCTTTCTCGCAAGCTTTGCAATGTAAATGTGCCTTGAATTCAACCATCTCTGACATCAAGATCACATTTGACAGAAAAAAGAAGAGAAACATGGGAAAGTTTTGGAGAGGAAATGGAAAACCTCCATGCTATTCATGATTCGTCACAGTAGAGACTCAATCGGAATTTGTTTCCTAATTCTTTTGTTTCTTCTAATTTCCCCCCCCCATAATATTCATAATGATTGGACAACAACTCAATGGAATACAGAGTGAAGAAACTAGGTGACAAGTTTTCCCCCTGATTTACGAGACGATTAACAATATATTTAATTGTAATGCAATCAAAATTTGAAGGTGTTTTAAGGTTTTGGTTAAGTCAAAGCCTTCCACGAACAGTTACACGTCAAGACCTTATCCTGGAAATGTTAACGCTATATCAAACCAAACTCTACTTTCCTGTATTAGAGTTCTCGAGAGTTCTTGTGGTTTTTCGATCAAAACCCCAATATTTGAAAATATATTATTTTTTTCAACCTGTTTGTATACCATTTTGGTCCTAGGATCTTCTCTCTCCACCCTTAAGAAGGTCCCAAAAGCACCTAAAAAAAGAGTAGACACGGTCCTTAGATCGTTATACTTACCGTCAACTTATCATAGTGTGATTTATCTCAGTTGGCGTGGGACGTGTACAGTCAAAAAATTAATTGTCGAATTATTGTTGAGATTCTGAACTAATAATCGAGAGATCTTTCAGCAATGGTGAAACACTAACAGAAGATTAGGGCATTGAATTGAAGTAAAACGATCTCATGCTTTGAAGTAGAATTAGAATATCCGACATTCTAGCGTTAAGAACCAAAAGAAACGAATTAAATCCAGGCTGCCCTTAAATACGAATGAAGAACGTCGAGAAATTTTTACTTTTATTTTCCCTCCCAAATATCAACCAATACAGAACATTGGTAAACCTGAGTAATTCCATCTCCAAAAGATGAATATACCTAAGTCATGGATTTTCTCTGATTGTATCAACAATGATCTTACAAGAAGAAATGTTCCTCATTTTTTTGATGAACGGAAACCGCCAAATCCCATCATAGCTGCCACATCGGGATCAATTTCGGGTTCCTCTTCTGCTGCTCTCTCTCTCTGAACTCAGAGAAATCAACGATCAATTATTATTTTTTAAGGGAAGTTAAAATAGGCTCAATACCAGAAAAGCATGCTTACTAATTGACATCTCAATACCAAAAAGATACAACCTGATGGCCAAACAACTGAGTAATTATCAAATTCAAATTCTGACCTTTTTCTCTTTCTTTCTTTCTCGTCGTTGGCGCCTACGCTCTTCCTCTTCTTCCTGCTGTTTCATGATGCGTTCGTCAAGATCTAAAAATACATAAAGAAAAAGATGAGACATCAACCATCTTGAAGTCAGCTAATCAAATTATACCTAGTTGACAGAGACGATAGTTACCTTGCTCTGAGAAGCTGCCAGGTGCTTTTCGCTTTTTTAATTGTTCAAATCGCTCCTGAACCTGCACCCAGATACAATGAAATTAACTGAAAGACTATATGCAAGGTAACAACTCTTGGAGGCCTCTACAATTCATATGTAACAGATTCTAGGTTCGGCTACCTTCAAGTAAACATAACCAGTTTCTTGTGTGGTAAACTCTATGTTGCACGGATACGGGTACGGGGACGGATACGGGGACGGGAAACGGCAATTTTAAAAATTACAGGGTACGGGGATGGCAAGGGTACGGCATATAAAATAATTTTAAAATTATAAATATATAAAAAAGCATAAATAATGTCAAATATCAAGACTCAAACAATAATATTAAGTTTATAACAGTAAAATCCATAAACAAACAACAATATTAAAATGTCAAATTTCAATATTCAAACCATAATATTAATTCTAGAATAATAAAATCCATAATAAAATCATAATATTAAAGTTGGGGTGAACCATAGGCAGCCCGTAAATGACCCAAACCATGCAGTTTATTAAGGTTGCTAGATACGGGGCTGGCGAGAACTGCTCCACTGAATTTTTCTTCCAAATTTGAGCAAAAGTTGGCCTGCAATCAAAAGGAGATTAAAGATAATGTAATCAACTAAACACAGGGAAACAAAAGTCAGGCGAAGCTTACACAGGAGACAAGAAGAGGAAGAGTGATATAACGTTCCCTGTGAAGAAGTAGAACAAAACCCACATTAGTTTACTTTTCAGGCGGGTTTCAAGGAAACATCGTTGTATGGTAAACCAACATACCTGTGACCCCAACTACATTACGGATAGTGTTGAGTAGGTGAGAAACCATGGCTGTAAGCTGTGTAAAGCAATGAATGAAACGAGTAGGGGAAGGGGAAGGAAGAAAATCAGGGTGCAAAAGGGATCGTTTATATGGAGATTTTCAACTTATAGAACTTATATACAAAGGGGGATGAATGAGTTGAGAGGGCCGGTGTTGAATGCGGTGTGGGGCTAACGCATCTGAGCATGGATTTGGCAAGAATCTAAAGACGTAGCCAAGTCAAACAACAGCCTCGACACCACCTCCTCCGACGTCGAAAAAATCGAAAATGCTGTCCTCGAAATGTCCCCAAGACTCGGTGAAACGTCCCCGGCGTCGTTCAGCCGTACCCTGCCACCGTGGCACGTCCCCGGTACGTACCCCAGCCGTCCCTGTGTCGTCCCCGTACCGGGGACGTATCGGGTACGTGAAACGGCACAAGTTTGCCGTCCCCGTGCTTCCTTGGGTAAACTCATTGTTATTTTGTTCCAAAACAAGGCTATAAAGCCTTTTCCTCTATTCATGCATTTAATAGAATCCCCAATCCACCCAACATTTTGCTGCTAATATTCTTAAGCTCTCTCTCTGGTCACTCCACAGGACATGCATATTTATTAGATTGCATTTTATATGCATTACCAAATAACTTCCAAAGATTGAAATATCAAATTAAAGAACACAGCTTTTGTTAGCCAATAAGGTTCTAAACACTTGAACCAGTTAAGAGTTGGAAAAGCACATTAAAAAAAATCCTCCGAGTACCTGTTGAAGAGATGCTCTTTCTACTCGCATGGACATACCTAACGCTCTTTGATCTGAAAAACATAGCATGGGGGAATTAGATTAATGAAAACTAATATGAACACCTATATATGTCAACACAAACCCAAAGAATGATAAACGGTAATCTCTAGAATACCACATACGTTTCTTCCCATTGATGTGATCCAAGTAGTTTGCAGAATCTTTTACTACACACTCACAAACTGAGCAATAGTATCCGGCCTGCAAAGGATCAATTTAATCAAGACCACCAAAATGTTTGTAACAAACAGAGATAAATAAAAATCAGAAATTCTAATTCCTTGGCCACTACTTCACTTCCATTTCATGTCCATTGTTACAAAATAATATATCAAATATTCAGTGGTGGAACTAATACCCTACAAAAAAAACATTCATTCATATAGCAATGCAAATATGCAACTGTTTTGCCAGTACCATCCTAAAGCCTTAAATGTTGGAAAAAGAGTAACACATCTGACAGGTTGAAATCAAGTTAAGTATACTGAAATCGGGTTGACATGAGTTTTCTCTTAAAGTATATGAAGTGTTGACAATCACATAGCCAATAAACATAGACACAAGAAAACAATCAAAAACCGCATATTGGATGTCGAATGAGCTTAAATGAATAAATGAACATCAACCAGTTTAGCAGTTCTTCAAGAAATGCAATTTGAAATATAACTTCCAAAGACATTATGAAAAATACCTGCTGACTTAAAGGTGCCACCGGAGTAACAACCTGCAAAACATATAGATATTAAAACAGGAAAATTTAATATAAACACGAATTACAAGATAACCTTCAATCAAAGCAATGCTAACCTGAGTTTTACCCAAACGAGATTCGAGATCAACTTCATAATCCCTATGCTTAAGGGGTTTCCTTTGCACTGGAGGACCTTTTGCAGTACATAAAATCAACTTTCACTATACAAATTCAGTTTCTTAGATTCAAACAGAATTGCCAACAATAAAGAAGCTAATCAGGTAAAGGAGGGATAGACTCACCTTTCGATTTACCTCTCCCTTCTGCTTCCTGAACCAAAGCATATTTTTTTCAAAGAAAAAATTTAGCAGATATTGATCAAGTATTCAAAAAGTAAAAAGAAAGAGAGATTCAGACGACAGACCTGTTTCTCACGCTCTCGAGCGCGTTCTAAATATTCTTCTCGGTCGAATTTCTTTCTGAAGGTATTGTCAACACCAAGTGTCTGCAACAAAAACATAGTAAAATAAAATTCAAAGCAAAAACTGTGATTATTGAAGTAGAAGGAAAAGAACATTTTTTTCGAGAGAAACTTTGTTCTCACATTATTGCTGGTAGCCATTGTTTTGCGTATAGAGAAAAAGGAGGAAGAATTTGCTCAGATTAATTAGAAATGGATGGGGAAAGAGGGGCTTCTCAGTGATTGAATCAAAAACCCTAAAACGTTACGAGATTTAATTCTAATTTCTAATTCGCCTGCAAAGAGAATTGAAAGGGGACATTAGCTTGATCTTTCTAGATAAAACGGCGATTCATCTGCGTCGTTTTTCATTACAAACAGTTTTTTAATATAAGATAATTAATACAATATCTATTCAAATATAACTTTTAACCTCTTAATATTAAAGGCTCGCACCCTGATATTTATGGTATTCAAACTAGAATTCTTAATAAATAATAATAACTCTTTTACCACATAGAACACTTGATTCGTGCTCATTACAAACATTAATGTAAAAGAAATAACATATATTTATATTTTAAAATACTTCAAAATAATTAGGTTATAAAAACGTTTTTATTAAAATTAATGACTTTTAAAATCTTTTCAAGAAATTATTTTTCTTTTAATTTAGGAACCAAATTGTCTCGTGATTTCAATGATAAATATATTGTTGTTATTTTTGAGGTTTTCGGTTTGAACACCGTCAATTTCAGGAGTATGAGCGATCAATATCAAATGATTAAGAGTTATCTTTGAACATATACTACATTATACTTACATAAGATTAATAAAAAAAATGAATTAAATTTATATTTAATACCACAAGTTTTATAATATATTTATTTTAACAAGAATTGTTCGAAATTAAATTCAAAATTTAATATTAATAAACTAAAATAACATTTTTTATAATGCAATATAAATTTTATTTTCAACTTCACTCTAATTTTATTATCCAAATAAGAGAGATGCATGGTATTGATTTATTTAAAATACAGCTTTCAACATGAAATATATGAGTTCAACTTAGGTTTTAATATTTAAATGTTTTTTAAATAGTATAAGATAATTATAAATATAATATATGTTTATAATTTTTTAATTATTAGTAACATACATGTAAATACAATTGTTTGAACGTGAAATCTCTCGAGGGTTTAACATACACTTTAAACATTGAGGTTACTGTTGATTTTAGGGATGAGCATGGGTCGGATTAGGTCGGATCGGGTTGTTGAGATATATGAGTTCAACTTAGGTTTTAATATTTAAATATTTTTAAATAGTATAAGATATTATAAAAATAATACATGTTTATAATTTTTTCAATTATCAGTAACATACATGTAAATACAGTTGTTTAAACCTGAAATCTTATGAGGAACCAACACACTTTAACCATTGAGGTTACTGTCGATTCTAGGAATGGGGTTTGGGTCGAGTTTCGGCCAACCCGACCCGACTTGAAAATTTTACATCATTCACCCGACTCGATCCGAAAAATATATACCTTTCACTTGATCCGAACCCGACCTGACCCGAAATAATAATAAAAATATTATTTTTATTCAATAAAATAGTAATTTAATTGAAAAATATATATAAAATAGTATTATTGTAATTATTCATAAATATATAAGGTAATTTTTTTCCCAGGTCGGGTCACGTTAGTTATTTTTATCCTAAATACGAATCCAACCAGACCCGAACACTACCTTTAAAAAACCCGACTCGATCCGATCCGAACCTAAAATATTTTTAAAAATATCCGACCATATCAGATTAGAACCCGTCAGATTCGGGTACATTCCCGTCCCTAGTTGATTCCCCTTGATCCTCGATGACTGTTGTCTCTTGTGGGGGAGTTGGAACTGTTGAAGTTTGCTGTTTTTTTCCCCAGCTCTCCAGTGGCGTTTCCCTTCATCGTCTCTCTGTTATCATCGCCGGAAGAGTACCGTTACTGGTTTTCTTTGTTTGCGTTTGAGAGAATATTTCGACTGTTTGCTTTTTAAGTTTTCATTTTTTGGTGATTTTCTCGATAAATCACCCTTTAAATGTTTATTTCTCTGTCAGACACCGTTTAGATTATATTTCCTGATCTAACACCCTTTACAGTAAGGCGCGCCTCCGGAGTCGTGCTACGTGGGGTAAGACGCACCCCCTGAAGCGCGCCTTACATTGACATTAATACACGCTGGCTAAAACGCGGCCCCTGGGGCGCGCCTTACGCCACGTAAGGTAAAGCACGGCTCCCGGGACGCGCCTTTGCTTTTTGCATTTTTAAATCGGTGACTTGTCCATTATTAAAAGAAATTATTTCATCAGCATCATTTAGCCATTATTTACGTATATAATAATATTACTATCTGACATAGTCAACACGGCTATGGAAACATAAAATTAGATTAAAAGTGGCTCCATCAACTCCAACGACGTCAACAAATACAGATTTTAAGGTGCACTGAACTAGCAACCATATGGGGATGCACAAGTCAACCTGAAAAACAAATTAAATAAACTTGTTATTATTTTGATAGATTGAATGAAAATACATAATGATTTCAACCAGCATATGTTTTTTTCAAGGTAAACTACATATTTAATTATTTATCTATTCTTCCAACTTAATTAATCATATATAATGTTATATTTTAATTCAATTCTACATATTTAATTATATTTTTTAAAATTATATTTATTATTATATTTTAATTTAATTTTAATTACTTGCCGTTATAACAATAAATAAAACCATTAAGATGATGATTTTTTTTATTTTTCAATGTCACAATTAATATTTTAACAATATATGATTAAAATGGTACCAAAAATAACATTATATATGATCTAAAAAGAATAATTATGTGACCAAAATAAAACTACAAGAATAGATAAACTACTAAATAAATAATTTATTTTTTAGCCAGATTTCGTAATAAGCTCTACAAGTTATAAAAACTAAGGAACTTTATTTACCTCTCTTTGCGCTTTTCCAAAAATCTCTACAAAGATTTTCTGCGAGCAATTGGAAGATCTGGCGGGTTGAGATGTCTGTCACCATCTGACATAGATGTAACCCATGTTTTGGTATTGAGATTGACGGGTTCATAAATGATACTGATGAAATAATTTTTTTTGATATGGATAAGTTACTGATTTAAAATGAAAAAAGTAAAGGCGCGCCTCGGGGGCCGTGCTTTACCTTACGTGGCGTAAGGCGCGCCCCAGGGGCCGCGCTTTAGCCAGCATGTATTCATGTCAGTGTAAGGTGCGCTTCAGGGGGCGCACCTTACCCCACGTGGCCCCAAATCAGCGTAAAACTCGGTTTTGGGGCGTGCCTTACTGTAAAGGGTGTTAGATCGAAAAATATAATCTGAACGGTGCCTGACAAGTAAATAAACATTTAAAAGGTGATTTATCGGGAAAATCACCTCATTTCTTGAAGTCTATTTTTAAGCTTTTAATTTGTTTTTAAGTTTCATTTGCTTTTGTAATATTCTCTCTCTTTAATAATATACCAGATGGTTTTATGTCAAAAAAAAATTTATAGACTTCATTGGGGTAAATTCACGAGATAATGTTCTCGAATTTTTTTTTCCACGATATGGTGCACATCATAGATTAATTGCTGGAATGGGGTGAATTCAACAGTGATTGCCATAGGACGCCATGCAATCCAGGCGACCTTGTAGGTCGCCATGTAGTCCCGGCGCCATTCCATCATCCATGCACATGCACAGCCACATAGCCACATAGATTCCTTCACGTGCTCCCCGCTGCATTGCCTACACCTCCCAATTCACGTGCTCCCCGCTGCATGCCTACACCTCCCAATGCATGCATGTGAACCATTTGAGGCATGTGAACCATTTGATTATTGGTACAATAATTGAACGCGTGAAATCAGCTGCAATTGTACAATTGGTGAAATAATTGAGGCCTCAGCCGGTTATAAAAGAAAGAAAGAAAGGGAGAAGAGATTGCAGAAGAAAGGGAGAAGAGATTGCAGCCGAGAAAGAAAGAAAGAAAGGGAGAAAGGAAAGGAAGAAAGGGAGAAAGGAAAGTAAGAAGAAGAAAGGGAGATAAGGTAAATTTTTTTATATTTAAATTAGTTTATTATTATAAATGTTTAATTTGTTAGTTTAGGGTTTAGGGTTAAACAAAAAGCAGTTAATTAGTTTGTTAGTTTAGGGTTATATGATTGTTAGTTTAAGTTATAGTATACATAAATTAAAAATTATTTAATTAGTATATGTTTGATAGTTATATAGTTAAAAATAATTAATTAGTTTGTATTGTTAATAGTTAGTTATATAAAAAAAATTATTAATTAGTTGTGTTAGTTAAATAGTTAAGTTATATTGTTGTTGAATTTATATTATATAAAAAATTAGTTAGTAAGTTTATTAATAGTATATTATAATGAAAAAATAGTTTATTAGTTAGTTTTAGTTATATAAAAGAATATTTATTAGTTGTTTAAGGGTTAGCGTTTACGTTTAACTTATATTTTAAAAAGTTTAGTTGTTAGTTTATTAGTTTATTATATTATATGTTATTATATTAAAGTTTAGTGTTGTAAATTAGTTAGTTAGTTTATATTAGATTATATTAAATGATTTTTAAATTGTTGTTTAATTTTTTTACAGATTCATTCTAATGGCTGACCAAATTCCACTGTTGAGGCTTGACAATGAACATATTTCAAGTCATTGGGAATAATGGTGAATAAAATATTTGTTTAATGAATTATAATTAATAAATATTTGAATATTATTTATGATTGTGATAATTTTTTGAAATATTTAATTGTAGGAGGACGAGCAGCGAGTCCTTCGTCTTCGACTACATAAAGTGCCCAAGCCACACCACTAATAGAAGAAAATTTGCAAGAGGCTGGATTTTGGTATATAACATTTGTGCGAGATTACAAGTTGGTCCCAGGTTTGATCAGTGCGTTGATTGAACGTTGGAGACCAGAAACGCACACGTTTCATTTGCCGTGTGGCGAATGCACGATAACTTTGGAGGATGTAGCAATGCAACTCGGGGTCCAAACTAATGGGATGCCGGTGGTAATGTCACATGAGTTTAATAGGTGGAACAACTTTGCAACTTGTTTCTTGGGAAAGCGCCCGTACCACCAGAGTGTAAAGGGTGGCGGGTGAGGTTGTCATGGTTGAAGAATGAATTTCAACTTCAATCAAATAGTACGGAGCACGAAATTATATATGCAACACGAGCATATATATTACAATTGATTGGGGGAATTTTGATGCCTGATAAATCCGGTAGTTATGTTCACACTCAGTATCTTCTTTTTTTAACAAATTTTGAGAATTGTAGGCAATATAGCTGGGGTTCGGCGATATTGGCGTTCTTGTATCGTGAGATGTGCAAGGCGTCATTAGTCGTGAATGATAATAATACAGTAGAAATCGGTGGATGTCTGTTGCTGCTACAATCATGGGCTTGGCATAGACTTCCGTTTTTGACACCGATTAGTCGGACTGCGGTTGACTTTCCACCGATGAGGGGGATGGGTACAATACTCCTGAGCCACAACGGCCACAACGTATCAGACGTCCGCCCCGACATTATCATTCAACAACACCCCGACATCGACAACAATTGTAAACTCGTTTGCTATTTATTACAAATTATTATTGAAATTAGACTACTTTTTTAACCTTAACAAATTATTTATCATTATTATAATGATTATTATCAAATCATTACTAAATCATCAAATCATTAAATATTTAAATCATTATTAAATCATTTTTATAATGATTATTACTAAATCATTACTATAATGATTATTATCAAATCATTACTAAATCATCAAATCATTAAATATTTAAATCATTATTAAATCATTTTTATAATGATTATTACTAAATCATTATTATAATGATTATTATCAAATCATTACTATAATGATTATTATCAAATCATTACTAAATCATCAAATCATTAAATATTTAAATCATTATTAAATCATTTTTATAATGATTAATAAATACATAGAAATACATATGATTACTAATGATGAGGCCTATATCTTGGTAAATTAGGACAATTGTTTTTTGAATGGCCTTCACCTCTACATAATCCGCATCTCTTTGCTTGACCTCTCTCTTTAGCATGAAAATCCATACTGGTATGAATTCGAGTGGACTCAGGTCGACCCTTTGGACTTCTGCGAAGCATTGGATTTGGTAGCCATTCATCATGATCCTTTTTGGGCCAATATGATTCATTCGGGATCTGTCTGAACACATAGCTGTAGACATTTAATATCCTACGTAGGTGGAAGCATTCATCAACATAAGTGTATGCGCTTACACAGCATACATACATGCAGCGACTGCATGAGCACATGGATATTTCCATGCCTGAAAACGACCACAATCACACCATTTGTGTCGTAAATCAACTCTAAATGTTTGGTCTTCTCCTCCGACGTTACGACGTATGCACGACACGACAAAAGTATGACCAACTCGGTCGAAATTATGAACAACCATTGATGTTGCCAATCGCTCATTTGCTTCCATTGATTCCACCACTGTAGGAGCCCAAGTTTTACCTCTATTATGAGACTCTCAATTTCCTTGCCTTTGTCCGACCAAACTTTACCCAGTCTAAAGTACGTCTCTTTCACCACACTCGCTATTGGGAGATGGCGTGTACCTTTTAGTACCGAATTAATGGCCTCAACAAGGTTTGTGGTCATATGTCCGTATCTCCGACCTTCATCGTATGCTTGCGACCATTTTTCCCGCGGTATTTTTGAGCCACTTCCAAACACGCTGATCATCGTAAAATACCTTCAAATTCTCCAATCTCTTGTCAAAATTTGGTCGACGTAGTTCGTATCCTGTTCCATAATATATTGTGTTAAACCGCAATTAAAAAACCACGTAAAAAATACACAAATATTGAAATTAAAACTTACCATGCTGACTATCTCGCTACGAATATGTGCGTTATGAAACTGGTCGATACTATTCTTGCCAATATGACGGATACAAAATGTCGGATATGCATACGGAGGTATCCAACGACTTCCTGGTCGTTCAATTGCTGCCAAAATACCCGTTCCTCTATCGGATATCAAGCAAACTCCATCTTCACGAACGACATATTGACGTAGATTGGTCAGAAAGAAATCCCAAGCCTCTGTTGTCTCTCCCTCAACAATGGCGAATGCAATTGGGAAGATATTTCGCTCACCATCTTGAGCAACTGCCATCAAAAGTACATGCCTATATTGACCATACAACCACGTACCATCTACTTGGATCATACGTTTGCAAAATGGAAATCCTTCAATACATGCCTTGAATGCCCAAAATAGTCTATGAAATATTTTTCTTCCCTGGCAGAAGTGACCTTCTTCGTCATATGCGGGCATGGTTGAGACTTCACTATAGTTCCTGGGATAAATCGCTTCATTGCTTGTAGCAAATGTGGTAGCTCATTGTACGATGTATCCCAATCTCCATACGTCAACTTCATTGCCTTCATTTTCGCATTCCACACCTTGCCATATTTTACTTGATATCCAAATTGGCTTCGAATAGATGCAGCTAACACTGAACAAGATATCCTTGGATCCTTTTCAACCATCGCCTTCACGTATTCACATATTACATCGGAGTCCAATAGTCGGTGGTCTTGTTCGATGGAGTTTCGCAAACATGTGTGCGAACCATTGTACCTCGTGATGACCCAAACATCGTGCCTTTGATTTTCGACACTCTGATCTTCCACTTGCACTCTGGGCCATATTTTACACACTTTGCGTATAGGGTTTTCTGGTTGGACTCTGCAACATGGACATCAACATGGCATTTGATGCAGTACTCTTTAATCGCCAGCGTAGCTTCATTTTTTCCTCTGAATTGCACCCCAACTGAAAATTCACCAGAATTATCGAATGATTCAGTCATTTGGTACGGAGGTAAATGTGGCATGTCTGGGAATTCAGGTGCCCTCATTGCATCATAATCTATCTCGTACATGTGAGGAGTAGCTTCATACGGTGTCGGAACTTCATCAATTGCACCTCCACCAAAAATATTTTCGTCGCCGCCCAAAACGGGTTCTTCAGTTTCTTCATCTTCGCTTGAATCATCATGAATTTCTCCCCATCGATTTTCAGCGTCATTATCAACAACCAATTCGGTATGTTTCTCGTCTCATACTCTGCTGCTGTAGATGTCCCCCCGACTTCATTACACTTTCCAATAGTGCCATAAAACTGTTCGGGAACCTGTATGTCGGCTCCTCAAACTGACTATATAAAGCCATTTCAGATGGATTTTGAGCCACACCTCTTGATGACCCAGGAACATCACATATGTTACGCACATCAACAAATAATTCAATAACTGCTATATTGGTTGACTCATGTAATCCAACCATGGTTCCAATCATCATCTTCTTCAAGTGGAACTGCAGCATATCTGACTGGGTTAGAGCATATCATAAACCTATACCTCAAACCATCAACTGCAGCTCGAATTTTTCTTTCTATCTTATGCTTCATTTCTATAAATGTGATGTCTTTTTGAACATCATATTTATTGGTTTTTCAGACTGAAAAACTACTCCGACCTCATTTTCCATAATCTGTCCATTATAATGGACAATCGTGAAAAAGTTGCTGCTCATTTTCTCTACAAATAAAAAAAAATTAATTTAGATTAAAAAATTAGATAAGATAATTTCATAAATTATTAAATATAATATAATATACTATTATATTAATGATCAAATAAAATTTATTATTTAACTTGATTGATTGCTTACTAATAAACCTAATAATGATTTGATAATTACTATTAATCTAATGATTTGATATTTAATGATTTAATAATAATATGATTAGTCATAATCACTAATAATTATTTATTATAAATATTTAATGATTTTGATTTGATACTAATCATTTAGTAATTATTACTAATAATAATGATTAGTTTGATAATATTTTTATTTTTTAAAAATATCAAACAAATTTGTTAGGCAAAACTGTCGATATACTGTTCTCGAAATAATTATTTCGCGAGATAATGTGTTGTCCGGATTATTTCATTCAATTAATTTTTACTTCTTACTAATATACACATACATTGTAAATTAAACAATTTATTTTTAAAACAACACTAAATATTTTTAAACACAATATTTTTAAAACGAAAATTATCTCGCACAAATTAGTTTATATAATCTAATATAAACTTACTAACTAACTAATTTACACATACACAACAACAAAAAATGGACAACAAAAAATAATAAATTACTCACGTCTTTATGCCTTCTTCCTTTACTTTTTTTCCTGCCTTGTTTCTTTCTTCGAATCAATCTGTACGTGGGCAAATATTGTGAAATAATGTCATGTATGTGTAAACAAAATATTTATTTAAACAACAATAGCTCCCACAAATTAATTTTATATAATCTAATATATTATAATATACCTTAAACTAAAAATATTTCTTTATTATAATATAACTTAGTTAAAATAACAAACTAATTAAGCACTAATAATTTTTTATAATATAACTTCAACTTCAACGAACAACCTAATATACGTTTAAAGACACATACAAATTAATAAATATTTTTATATTAATAACTTAAACTAAGAAACTAATTAACTAATTTTTATATAATATAATATATAACTTAAACTAATAAATAATATAACTTAAACTAACAAACTAATAATTTATACTAACAAACTAATTAACTAGATTTTAATTTTACCCTAAACCCGAAACTAACAAACTAATAATTTCATATATTAAACTAAATTAAACAATAAAAAAATTACCTCACGAACTATGTTTGAGCCTTTATCTTCTTTTCTTCTTCTTCCTTTCTTTCTCTCGGCAAAGTTTATATTTGCCGGTTCTGCTTGTGCTTCTACCCTAAACACCATATCCTTTATATATAAAGCAACTGAGCGTTGGACAGAGTCATTAAATTTGATTGTTGAAGCAAATAATATTAGCATTATCGTCTAACTATTGAGCATTGAAAGGCTGACAGCTAAATTAACGCTGCAATAACGCAACAAACATACAGCTACGGGTGCAGGAATCTCAGCTATGATGCAACGCATGCATGCAGCAGCTACGGACCAGACCTTGGTCGCCGAGACTCCATGGCGACCTACCGACCACGCCGCCGTGACCTACACCGTTCGACGTGCATGGCCATGCACAGTTCCCACGTCCCATGCACAGCATGCATCCCCTCCCCCATGCATTCCCACGGCCCATGATTTCCCATGCACAGCATGCATCTGCATGACCATGCACAGCATGCATCCCCTCCCCCATGCATTCCCACGGCCCATGATTTTTGCAAAATATGCACAGGCGCCATGCAATATACCTTGGAGGTCGCCTGGATTGCATGGCGACCTTGGAGGTCGCCTGGATTGCATGGCGACCTCCAAGGTCGCCTGGATTGCATGGCGTCCTATGGCGATCACTGTAATTCACCCCATTCCAGCAATTAATCTATGATGTGCACCATATCGTGAAAAAAAAAATTCGAGAACATTATCTCGTGAATTTACCCGACTTCATTGTTTCGAAAATCCCTACAACCCAATAATTTCATGCCAAACATATAAACAGCGTACGCATGTGCAACACGGGGAATTCTCTTTTCGATATGGGAATCGGACCCATCCTCCTGTGCTACTGCTAATGTAGGTTAACCAGTGCCGCCAAATTGTGAACAGGGAAGACTTGAGATCCCTGAACTGAATCATGTGCCTCGTATTATTATTGCTTCAATGATCCAACAGCAACAGTTCTTTATAATGATGAAACATGGATCATTTCTAAGGCAATATACATTAGATTCTACTGCGTTTTCACTTCAAAACACAAGGAATGTTGCAGATTGTTGTTACACTTATTACTACCGCTAAATGAAACTATACAATTTCTTTGATACCCCTGCACTTACCTGGAAGGAAGAGGGTTTACAGCTCTAGCTAAGCCGTTCATGGCACCATAGCCTTTTGAGCTAAACCCTAAACACCCAAGCAACCCTTGCCTGTAAGGCAAGAAGGTCTTCCTCCTCATTTCTTCAGCTTGTGCTATATTTGCAGTGTAATGCAACTCATGTGGTGATGGTGGAACCCTCTTTTTCCTTATCCCATTGCTTAGCTTCTCTTGAACCACACCATTGCTTTTGTTCCCAGACTGCTTCTCTTTTGAGACAGTACTTGACCACTTTCTTCCTTCGCTTTTGCTCCTTCTAAATCCTTTAAGGCCAAAACCCCATTTCCTTGAGCTTCTTCCATCTGAAGAACAAGCACCCGACATCGAATCGCCGGTTGTTCCATTGTTCTTTCCGCCAGCTTTTTGGCCTAAATCTTTATTAAGGGCAAAAACTGCATTTCTCAATGGGGACATGGACCTTCTTCTTCTTCTTCTCCTTAAGGGCTTATCCATCAATGGAGCCAAAACCTTAGGCCTTTCCAAATGGGTGGATAGCTTCAATGGTCTGATCTGTCCATTCAAGAAAAGTCCATCAGCTGATGTCATGGATTCACTTTGACCCGACCCTGAAGAACCAAACTCAAACTCATGACCAGGAGGAGAAGGTTGAGTTGTTGATGATACCACTGAAGCCACTGGGGTAGTAGTCATGGTAATGTGCATAGGGCTAGCTGGTGCACTGTAAAAGAACCCACCATTGGTTGATCCTGGTTCGGGTCGAGGGCTTGAAGGAGCACTAACATAGGGTGTGGAGCTGGTGCTGTCATTGTCTACAAGCAACACTTGAGGCTCGTGGAGTTTTTGGAACCCCATTTTTCTTTCTTTTCCTGTGCGGCCAAAGTGTATGTGTTGGATTGGTTAATCACTATGTTGGGGGTGCTTTATAATGGTCGTATTCACACAACTTTCCACTTCCTCATACTAAAAAATGAACCCTTTTTCAATGATTAATCAAATTATAAAGTTTAATGACTTTTAATGAAAGAATACTGTGAATTTGAATTGACTTGCCACTGTCACTCTCTTTACTAGAAAAGATAACATTTTCATTTTCAATGTTCCATTCATGTCCCACAAGAACATAAATCCCCAAAATTCATGCAAATGTCAAATTAATTAATATATATATATATATATATATATATATATATATATATATATATATATATATATATATATATATATATATCACCCTGTTTATAAGGATGAATGGCTGCTGAATGTCTTTAGATTGTAACATAAAAAAAACTTTTTTTTAAAAGAAAAAGCAAGCATTGAGAGGAGTAGGGATGCATCATCCATGTGGGGAAATTGGAAAATGACAGTACTATATTTATTTTTTATATATATTATTTGCCCTTCGGCTTCTGCTACACTCCAAAGTAATTTTAATGGTTAATCAACTTGTATTATTACTGTTCATAACTCATAAAACAAGGATCAGGTTTCATCTATGCACTGCACATTTCATTCGGCGGCCGCCTACTTCGAGAATCGAGATGCCATTGGGTTGATTATTCTATAGTTTGGTATAATGTTAAAATTAATCCCTAATATTTATTAAAATAATTATTTTAATTTCTAATTTGTTTTAGAATATTTTTGATCCCGCACGTTTTATTCTAGAGCAAGAAGTTTATAGAAGAAAATCATTAGTTACAAGTAATTAATGTTCTAAAATGAGGGTCATTTTTACTCTAAAATGAAATATTAAGGATCAAAATACTTCAGAAAAAGGGTCAAAATGACCACATATTAGAAGCCTTTTTTGTCTAAAATAAAACATTGGGATACAAATACTCTAAAAGAAAATTATAGAGGTCAAAATGACTATTTTGATAAAATTAGAGACTAATTTTAATATCATACCATATAACTTTTAGATTCTGGTTTGAAAGGCACAGCAGATCATAGTATTAAGTTTTTTGCTAATCATGGAATAAATTGAGAACACTTTGGACTCAATAACATGTTTTTCTACATTCCACCATCCATTGCCAAATATATACATGTATATGCATATATATATATATATATATATATATATATATATATATGCTTGGCTGGACAGTGAATTACTAGGGAAAATGGTTATAGGAGAGCCTTTAAAGCAATAAATCAAAAACTAATTCATCAACTAGACAAGTTAATATTGTGTTCTCAACCTCTAAACCTTCTTCCAATGCTTCCATGTCGAAATCAAGCCATCTCTCATGCTTTGCGTTCATGTTCTTGCCTACAAGGTCATCCACCACCAATATGTCCGCCATGTTTCTCCAACCCAATATCTCTTTGTACACCTCTTCTGCTAGACATTCTTTATTTTGGATCAATGTTCCCCACTTAGCCAATCCTTTGCAGCTTCCGACAAAAACTTGGTCGTACCTTAGCTCCAGGGATTCGCTCACACAATCGAGTAAAAGCTTTAGTTCGAGCTTGTTGTGGTCTTCTCCGCGTCTTTCTGTTCCGTTCCAATGCTGGAGCTGATCGAAGGCATTCGGGATCATGATATTATTGGTCTGACCCAATGCATATTCTATGAACTTTAGCTCGGAGTCTTTTAGCATCATTTTAACATAATCAAATTCGGAATTGGATGACTCTTTAAAATATGTTGAATCGGATGTCGTAGTTAGAAGCTTTTCATTCGTTTCTCCCACGGTCTGGGAAGACTCGATTCCAGGTGATGAGCTTAATACTTTGTCATCGGGAGCGAAACACGTCGTGCCTGCAAATGGAGATTACATGTAGTCAATGCAACAACTTGATTACTGAGTTTACATATTAATCATCTATGCAAATAATCATTTCTTGCATCTCAGACATAGTTAAGTATACTCTAGACATTGTCCCAAGAAAATAATAAGAGTACAGCTTACCACTGGTACCATCTCTACCATCAGCGAAACACTCACTCGTGACAGCAAGTTCAAGTGTTGAAAGCGGGCTAGGCCATGGAAGATCTAATTCTATGCCAATCTCGCTGCTGGTGCTGCTAGCATTTCGATCTTCGATTTCTTCTGAAGGCTTGTATCATCCGATAAAGTTAAAGTCATTTGTCGAATTGCGAAATGTTAAAGACAATCAAGGAAAATTTTCAATTTAGAGACATCTTATCAACCTTCTATATCACTCTTAGAAAAACTTGTTTGCATATTATGAAGAAATGTTAAGTGTACTAACAGTCTTGAATATCTATTATGCTGAATAAAATCAAAGGGTGCAGGTGTAGGCCATTAGAAAATGGAAAAATGGAAAGTTCTCCATCAGCTATACTTTGGAAAAACCTTTTGCAGTGTGAGACTTCATTATAGACACCAAGAAATAAGCAACAAATGTCATTGTACAAGTAAACCAGACCTGCCACTTCCTACTCCGATCAAGCTCTGGATTGTCGATTGAAGGGCAATTGAAGTCGTCGAAACTTAGTGATATGTCTTTCACTAGATCCACCGGAAACCTTTTGTGATGTCCCATTGATGTAGTGGCCACTGTACTAGACGGGAACACTGAATTTTGCTGACTGGATTTGGGACTGCACGAAGTCTCCTCTAAAATGATATTGCAATTGGATGACTCAACTCTATATGTCAATTCATGAAGCTGATTCGCTAAAAAAACACTCAGAGCATCCCCATCAATTGTGTTAAGTCCAAGAGAAGAAAATCCTGAGCTTTTTGAGAACAGTGCATCATTGTCACCCGAAGGATCATAATCAACGCTACAGCTCGGTTCCACAACTTCACTTGTGGAAGGTACATCGGGCATGCATCTTTTAATGGGGGATGTAAATGTAAACGAAACAACATCCATGCTTGTCTTCATTTTCTCTGCATCCTGATTCGGTTGCCCTTCGGTTGTAACATTACATTTTATAGACCTTTCAACACCATTCATTGACGAATTTTCAGAAACTGTTTTTCCGGACAGAAGATCCTCATTTACATGTTTCTTTCTAGGCAAATTCTTTCTTCTAGACATGGGAAGCTCCTTTGAAGAAACAGTTGCCGAGGAGCCCGTGTTCCTGAACTGACATTCGGAGTTCACAGTCACCTTCTTTATAGTCTTATTCAGCCCCACTGTACCATTTAGGGACCTAACCTTTCTACCTTGCTGGTCCTGGTTTGAAGCATTTGATGTCGAGTAGTCTCTACCAGATATGCAGTTCTGCTTCTGATTATTCTGCCTCAGGACATTGCTAGTCCTATTTGCAGAAGTTCCGTTCTCCACATTTTTTCGCATATCTGCCCGGCTCCTAGAAAAATGTTTTCCTTTAGCATCATTCCATTCCTTCGGATTTGCAGAACTCACATTACCACTTGAAAACGGCCCCTCTTTCCTCCGAACATTAGCCCTTTCTTGTTCTGCATGTGAGACTGATTTCCCCTTATTCCTTGAACTGTTACAACTACCTTTCTCTGGATCCCTAGATGTCCGTAATGGTGGTGCATAATCTGATTTATTTGACTCTTTCCCTTACGCTGCTCTTTCAAAGACTTCGCCGCACTCTGACTAGGCTCGTCAGGTCTATGAGGCCTGGATACCTTATGTGCGGCTTCGATTTTCTCTTTCAAATCCCGGATTTTCAAAGGGACTGAAGAAGAACCAAATGAAGGCACCTTAGTTTTGGAAGTTGGCTGAGGACTAACATCTATAATCTTTGCAGCTGCCTCCATTATATAAGCTGCATTCTTGGTTGGGATGAACCCCGGACTCTTGACAGGAGACAAGAGCTTATGGTGAGTTATTGGAATCGGTTTTGCTGATTTCGGAGGCAATATTTCAGTCTGAAATCTCTCAATCGGTCGGTTCTTCACCATATGAAACCTCGGTTCAATGGGATCGGAAGACAACCTATCAAGCTTGTTAGAGACGGTGTAGTCCATCTGTCCATATTCATTCCACGAATCAGGAATACCTCTTTCATAATGAGACAGTCTAAGAGAGCAAGACCCTGAATATGTAGTAGAAGATAGCTCAGATACGTTCGGTGTCTGCAACGAGTCCAAACCCATAAGCCTAGCAACAGCTCCAGGTGCTCTAGATCCACTTCCTTCATCACTGGTCACCGAGGAAGCGGAACTAAAATCAGCACTGCGTGTATTACTTGAAGCGCCATTGTAGTCATCCCCCACCATAAAAGGCGGTGACTTCAGTAGATTTTCCACAGGTTTTCCTCTCTTTGATTCTCCTACAAGTTGCACATGAATCACGAACTTATTCGAGACGAAAAAAGCGACTTATAACATACAAAAAATAACAAATACCTGAGATTTCAGCATTGTTCAAGAACAATTTCTTTCGAGATTTACCATTCCAATCAAACAAATGAAAAAATCCTCCCTTTGAATGCTTCTTTTCGACCTCCATTATTGCATCCATAAACCAAAAGAACATAATATATATATATATATATAAACAAGAATTATTACAACTTATGTCAACTATAACAAGACATAATCTAATTTTCAAACTCATACCTGATTTTACTTTCATTTGCTCATTCAACTAACAAAGAGAAACAATGCATCAACTCTGAAGCGAGCAATTAAGGGAAGAAGATAGCTTTCTGACATAAAATACATGTACAAGGGAATCAGATCTCCATAAATCCAACATGTAAGAAAAAAAACATCAACTAATGAAGATGCAAAAATCCTCCCAAAGGGAAAACAAAGATGTTAATAAGCAAACCGTGAACTTCATTGCAAGAGGAGAAAAAAATCACCTTGAATTCTTCAAAAGCTGTCAAAATTCATGATCCAAGCACCAAGATCGTTCCTTGACACAATGGGGTTACATAAAACAGGTAAATCAAACAGGGCATTCTTCCATGTATGGTAAGGATTTGTTTTTTCCTTTTATTGCAGCTAGGATAATTGTATTAGAAAAATGGGGTTGGTTTCTAAGTAAGAAAAGGACAGAGAAGAAAGATCCATCTCGGGAGAAAAATATTTTGGTGACAATAGCAGAGATGCTAAGAGACAGATTCAGTTGAAACCATATAAGATACAGAAAACCATATTATAAAAGAAACAGTAAAAAAAAACTTGAAGCTTAGAAGAGTAGGAAAAATGTCTGGTCTGAGTTTGAGCAGTAAATATTGGAGAAGCAGTGACATTACGATACACAAACCTAACTCTGCCATTGGAAATTTAAGAACCCAAGGTCGTATCTTGTGAAACAAATCAATCAAATTAATTTTCTTCTTTAAACTCTTTCACCAATGCCATGCCACACGGAGCAGTTTTACCATGAGCTTCGGATCTTCCTCACTGCTGGGAAGACGTGGCACACGACCAAATATATAAATTACATATAAATAGGTCAAGATTTTATATGATCTATATTTATTTAAACTAATTATTTTATATCAGTTAATCAAATATCAATTCAATTATATATATATATATATATATATATATATATATATATATATATATATATATATATATATATATATATATATCTTTGTACTTATTCCGATTGAATCCCATCATGTGTAATTAGAACATAAAATTATGCTCTGCAGTGATTTATTTTATTTGTAATGACATAGATATGTACTAGTTATATTTACCAATAAACATGGTTGCAATTATGTCTTTAAAAAATAAATAAATATATTCATTTTTTAAAATACATATAATTGAACAAAAATTAAATTTTATACATATAATTATACAAAATTAAAATGTATATACCACCAAACAACAGATTTAACCAAAATTTGTCCAATTTCAAATTTCTACATTTGCAAGTTGTTTGAATGCATTATATTTCTAGAATTTTAAAATTTGAATTTTACAATTCTTTAATATAAGGATATATAGTTTATTTCTGTTCAGCCGTTTTTACGGTAGTCTTAATGGCGGAATATTTCGGTTAATCACCACCAGTGAAAACCAGTCACTCTATTTTCTTGAAAACTACGGTAGTTTTAGTTTTAGTTCATCTCATTTTTTTTTCACATCCTTCATTACTTTTACGAGGTGCTATTGGACAAGAGATGCAATTTCGAGTTATCATAAGAAATCCTGGTACAGTTGCGATGTACATAAACATCCATGTCTTAGTCCTGAGTTTGAACCACATTTACAAGCTTGACTCGTCCTCGATTTCCAGCTCCTTTCCAAGTCTAGATTCCTTCCTGGACTTTTTTGGATTATCCATGTGAGAAACCTGCAAAATACTCCAACAGTAAGACCCAGATGGTATTAAGGCAGGCACGTTAAATATAGGAGCATTACCATCTACTTACAATGTGAGATTTCCACTCGATTTTTTCATTCCTGTCTAATGAATTAGCATTATGAGAATGATCTCGAACACGGTAGAATAATTCGACAAGAACAGCAGCATCAAGAGAAGCATACTCGAGCTGAAGAAAATTTCAAGAAATGTAAACACAGTTGCTATTCTGTCTTGCTTTATTAAAGCTGCAAATAAGGAGATTCAAGGAACATGGATAGAAACCTGATTCTGGGTCAATGGTCTTTGTTCCCAGTTGCTATTCCGTCTCGTTTTATTTAAGCCGGCTCCCAATATTTTCTGAGTAGGAGGAATTGTATACCATTAATTTGCGGACAATAAAAGATAAAAAGGAAACAGAGTCGTTGTATTTGAAAAGGAAGTAGGAAGGATAGAATGCATAAACTCGAACTTCATGTTTAGCTTACCTCTGCAAGACCAGATAGGCCACCTCTGGGATCTTTGAACAATTTCTGAATGTCCAATAGCATATTATAGCTCTTGAAACACTTCAAATCTCCATATGATTGAGCTAGTTGTTTTATATCACATTGAAAACTATAACCTACAACGAGAAGTATGTTTAAAATCTAACTCGGAGTCGTTACAAAGACCAAGAGAAGCTTTAGTTCAAGACGGGCAGCCTTCCTTTTCAAACCATACAATCAAGAATGCAAACCTTCTGTGTATATCAGGATGGGTTCAATATATCAGAAAAAAGTTAACTAGAAAAGTAGGATCCATATAATGGGAGAAGCTTCCCTTCTTCCAAAAAAATACAGATTTTCGTACCGAGTTTTAAAATTCTTGGAGACTGCAAGATGCGAGTTAGGCAGTTGTCCAGAACATCAGGCACATCCTCATATAATTTTATCAGGTCAAAGATAAAAACCTTCTTATCAGAAGCTATTTGCATGATAGAAACCTGATACAAAGAAACATCTATTTATTGTCTAAGGACACCTTGATCAGTCATAAATCATAATGGATAAACCAAAAATGCAAACAAGTTCAGTGACTTATGGTTTGGCAATGCAAGCCTGCTTCTAATTCTATAGCTATAAAAAAAGAGGATCAACATTCATTTCAACATTTTTCCTGAGCAAAATTGTTCCGAGGGTCTAGGCTATATAAATCAAGAGTAATCACAAACTATAGGAAATGGAAGAAGATGGTACATGCTTACCTTGTTTGGTTTACTCCCTTTTACATAATTGGGTTTCCATTCACAGTCAAGTCCCACAACTTTGGATCCCTCTATGTGACATGTTGCCTCGCCAAGCCCATTAAATTCATCCACCCAGATTATGCCATCTACTACCAATTCATTGAGATTTAAAAAACGCTGATGCTGAAAACCTGCTTCATGTTCTGAACAAAAGCATAACCAGTAGGATGAGAGTCTGCCTTTAGGCTAATCATCAAATAAGTCTAAAAAATCTATTTACATCTACAAATACTGCAGAAACCAGAATAAACAAGCGCTAGAGTTGGAATTAGTGGATTTTAACAGCATAAAATGTTAAGGAATACAAATGTTAAGGAATACAAATGTTAAACAATGTTAAACAAATATCAGAATTATATATACTTCTATTATATGGTCTTGATTGTAAATTCCCATTCAATCCAAACCAATGCACTTCATGATAAGTTTCAGTGACATCCGTCTCTATATATAATGTTCCTTTATTTCCAAAAACAAGCCCCATCAGTGACGATACCTTGCACTTTTGGAAGCACTTCAAGGGAGTAACGATTACACAGTTCATCAACCTTCTCCAAGTAACCAGCCTCCATGGCCATATAAACCTAACATCCAGAAAGTAATTTTTTTTAACATCCATAGAAAGTACTCAAAATCAACAAGATAAATAAACATATGATAAATTAGGGGAAAACAAATCAGTTGGCAAAAACTCCACAGCTCCATTTCATATTAAATAGACTTTTGAAAATGATAACGTCAATTTAAAAATGTACTTACTAGATACTCAATTAATTGCCTATCACCATTTGCCTTCGCCTCTGCAACATCCCAGCATGCCTTTTCTGCTAATTGTTTTACTGTGCTATAACATGGAAAAATAGTAATATCATATTTACTGTTTTTAACACCTCTACTCCAAGCCTTTTCTGGGATCAGAGATGGGCAGAGCATGTTGCCATTTGCCAGTATGGGGATTAAGATATCTTCAGGTACCTTTTTTTGTATTTGTGATCCACATCTGGAAATTCTTGCTGGAGATCGTTCTTCTTCACAATCAAATAAGCAAACTTTAGCTTGTTCCTCTCAACATACTCCCGGATGAGTAAGGATAGCATTGGCTTTCCCATAAATGTTGCCCACTTCTCAGCTGCTTTGAATTGTTTGTTTTCTATCATTTTGAGAAGAAAAGATTGCCCGGATTGACGGATAGAGAAATGTTCCAACATATTCACCGCTGTCATATATGACTGTGATTCGATCAATCCAAATATATACTGCTCAACAAATGTCTTTACACTGTCAAACCTATGGTCATTCTTGGCCTTTGATTGGGATACAACTTTCTCGATATCTGTTAACCTGACATCAAACACTTCAAGTATCTTCACAGCAATCCTCTCATCATGGTCAATAGAACCCTCAACAATATCGAGAAATAACTGCACGGCTATACATTTTGCTTCTGAAGAGTCCCCAGTGGTGGCTTCTGTCTTTAGAAAACGATGAAAAGAAGATATGATCAAATGACTGATGCCTTCACAATATGATCCAAATATAGGCAGGATATAGAGACAATGAGCAACAAAAGCTGCAGGTCCTGGTTGGGGAGAATTACTTAGAACTTGGCGGACTTGTTGTTGAAGAGCTCGGAACTTTTTAGTTGCCTTCACGTTTCCTGTCAAATCACTCCAGAGAATCAGAACAAACATGAAAAAGGCAGGGTAAACCACTACATTTTAACTAGTTTCTTGCAGCACAGTGAACAAGGTACGGAAAACTTCTCCCAGTGAGTGATAAGATTAGCAACGAAAAGAAACAAAACCTTACCATGAACATAACATTCTTTAAGAAGGTATAAGAACACTACTGGAGCAACATAGGTTAGATCTGTATAAGCATGCAGACAAATTGTTTTCGTTTCGCAAGCTTTCTCCTCTTCAACTTGCAGCTTTATAGATTTTTCCTCAAATCCCATTTCAAAAAAGCACAGCTAACAATGCTGAAGTAATATCCAAAATGGGGGGAAAACGAAATATTAGTCTGAATATTGCATATGTTCATCATGTGTTATGTTTGATGTAACATTCGGTAATTTTAGCTTTTTCAAAGCCAATTCAACCTCCCTATGAGAAAGGAAATACATAAACAAATAAGCACAAATACAGTTCTAAATCCAGGAAAACAAACAACAGCCAAGTTTATTCATTTTCAACTTTATTTCCTTTTAATTTTACCCACATTTTCTCAGCATCCAAAAAAGGTATAAAACTGGATATTCTACAAAAAGAATTGAGCAAACATTGGCTTGATCATACCAAAAAAAATACAAAGCAAATGATAGTTGATTTAAGAACTTCAAAAGATAAATAATTAAGAGCTTGAACAAAAGAATTCAAACTCATTAGCTTCGGAAGTTATCGAAGAGAAAAAGCATGAAAAATCACAAATGGTTCAGAATTAGACTAACAAGATCATTAAAACTGAAGCAAATTAGGAAAAAGAAACGATAGCATAAATAAGATCAAGAAATACTTTCTTCCATTTCCCGCGAGCCAAACAGTTATATTTATAAAAAAAGCAAATTGGAGAGTTTAATCAAACAGAGAAGAAAAGGAGAACATAAAAGGATAAGGAGAAACAAACCAATTATTTTCTTTTGGATTTTGTGAAATTTCTGTATCTTTCGTTTTCGCTTCAATAAGAAAACTACTCTGTTTAACCATTTCGTTTCCCCCTTTTTTTTACTGGAAAAAATAAATTATTTATATTTTGAAAAGGTATGTTTCTTAAAAAAAATAGGTTAAAATATATAAATGGTTATTCAACTCCAACTACATAGTGTTGTTTATTGAGTTCATTGATTATTAAAATTTATAAAATTATCTTTCAATTATAAGACTTTATTTTGTTGAGTTCTATAATTATTAAAAGTTACAAAATGTTTCATTGACTATTTATATATTCTAAAATCATCATTTTTCATTAAAAAATTGATGTTCGTCTGGGTTAAATATTAACTTTTTTATTGAGAAATGATAAAATCATATTTTAATGATGTCTACCGGTATCGTTGTTGTTTTCAAGCACTAGTTCGATAACATAATGTTTCAAGCATTGGCTCGATGACATAATATAAACGGAGATTTGATCCATAAAATATAATTAAAATAATTTCAGGATAAAATTTTATCATGTCTCACTCAATATATTAACGTGTATCTCAAACGATCATCACTTTTTTATCGGAAAAGGACTAGTTTAGAACAAATAAATAGACGAGTGACTATTTTATAACTTCTAATAATCGAAAGATTGAGCAAAATAGTATCTTATAATCAATGAATCATTATATAAATACTAAAAGTCAATACACTCAATAGAATAACACTATAATCGGGACCAAACCCAAAAAATATATAAAGCTATGTATATAATTCTGAATATAAGAAAGCCCAAGATGGCCCACTGGATTTTTCCCATTTTTTGATTCCCTCCTTCAAAGATTCTGTTTACAAAAACAGATTAAAAATATTATTTAATTATATGGCAAAATATGTGTTATATTGAATAATATAATTAAGCACAATTTTTATTTTCCCCTCCTAAAAATTAAAGAATACAATTAGTAGTCTCCAACTACCATCAATTGAATAAATTTGTTACATTTTTTTTGCATTTTTTAGTATTCTAAATTTTATGATTGCTAAAAATTTATAAGAATATATAGTGAAAAATTTGAATGTAGTAAATTTTAAATATATTTAGATTTTCGTAAGTTCCATATATGAATTCGTATCTGAAACATATATATTTAAATTATTGAAATGATTTTTCGTATAATATTTATCAAACTCGATTGTTGAACACGAAAACTTATAAATATATATTTGAATAATGAAACCTTGTACACATAAAAATGAGTATATGTGCTGTTAGAACAGAGACAAAGGTACACCTGCTGTTAGAGAATACCCTGAGTTTTTCTTCGAAATCGCAGACGAAAACAGGAATGAACTGCTGAACTATTTGCATTCACCAGGCTTCATGTATTCTTAAGCACCCTGTTGGCCACACCGTTGGCTGGAGAACCGCCACAGGCAAAAACAAGGATGCTTTTTTACCAGTAGGTGGTTGTCAGCTACTCTGATTACCTCTCGGAACATCCAGGATAAAGCTACTAGCTACTAGCTACTAGAACAGAGATTAAAAGGGAAAGAGTACTCTTAATTTCCCGAGATAGTCGACTTGAACCACTTTTCGCACCCGGTTTCGATCAAGAACTAAGAGGCAGATCTCCAATCATCAACTTTCATTTTCATGATTAGTTTGAGCAGGATGGTGGTGCTTCAAGTTTAACGAACAATTCTTGCTTGAATACCTGAACAAGGAAGATGAGGAACCAATGTCGTGACAAAAGAAAATATAGGTTGTTTCAGTTCATGAACTTAATAATGAAATTCACAGAACTTTTATACAACTTGCCTTCTTAAAGTATTCTGATTCATATCTTAGTTCTCCCGCAAATCTATCAGCTGTACATTGATCGACGCCGGGCAGCTGATTTTGAACCCTTGCTTCCCCAATAACCTGTAAAAAAGCCACGAGATCAATTTAACAGGAGCATGTTTTCCGAAGAAAAGATACACAATTAATATAACCGAAAAGTTATTACAGTTAATTTCCAATAATTCAAACATATTTAAGAAAGAAGCATAGAAAGCAAAATTGTCTCGACGCCTTTATTTGGCATTAACATAACAGAAATAAAGCGAGATCGGGAAATAAAAGGAACGAGTGCCAGCAGCAAGGCTAAAAACACATAAAATCAGGTTCCCCTTACTCGACTTATCACGTTTATATAGTGTTTTAATACAAATTGGGATGATAAGAAACAAAAGAAAAATGCTACATGAACTGCACAAAGTAAAACAGGACAAAGCATAATTTCCACATCATGTTACTAGACATTACCAGCATGAAACCTTCACGAGAATGTGAAAAATCCATTTCTCTGTAGTTTATGCATCCTTTCAGATGTAACACAACAGATAAACGTAAAATTGCACAAAGAACTTTGAGTTTCTGCTGTGCCTGGAATAAAACACGAACAAGCATGTCAAGCTCTCTAAAAACCAAATGGACAACGAATCACCAAGCATATAGAATAAGATACCTGTTCTCCGAACTCATTAAAAGAATCATCGTCAAGCTTGGGTAATTTCTTTCTATGGTGTCTTGTAAGAAGAGCTATTAACTGCAATCTCACTAGAAGATGATCAGGATTGAGAACACGTTTAGACATCCTTATTAGGAAAGCAAACCAGATTGATAGGCAGATTGCGTACCTTGACCTCCTCATCACTATATCCATGAAGATGATTTCCGTTCTATATGACAAATCATGTCAATGATGGAGATAAAAAGAATCAACTCCTATTTATGCATAGCAAGAAATTCAAAGACTTTACTCTCAATGCCATCGAGTTACTTTCTTTTTTTCAACTCTTGTGAGCAACATCAGCTTTTCTTGGTTCTAAAAAGCTCAGAAAATTTGCCCTTTTTGCTTATACAATTCGATAGGGACAGATTATGCGTAAATTATGAAACATAATGCAAATAGAAAAGCAAACTCACCATTATGATGTGATATGACTTCTTATGGTAACCCTTTTTACCAGTGGAGAGACCTATATTGTGCAGTAAACATGCAGCTTCAAGATATTCCAGACCTTTGTCATCTAAATGAACAGCAAGGTTAACTCCATTGTTATCAAGCTCCTTGCATTTACTTAAGCCTTCAAAAATCTCCTGGAAATATTAAGTTGGAAACAATGAACACAAGAAGATTATTTTTCCCATTATGTAAGAGATACTAAAGGCAAAATAATCAGTCCCCTCATTCATCAAGTGTTGTTTCTTAATTTTGAAACCAAATTTTAATCATCAAAAACTACCATAATAGCAATCATTTTTCCATAAACTTGCTACATTCCCTCAAGAATCAAATTCTTGAACTAAACAATATAGCGATATTTTAAAAGTCTAAAGCCAAGATATGCCGAAATTACCGTTGCAATGCTAGCAATTTCAACAGCAGAAGTGGTCTTCTTTTTGCCATTAAACCTTGCAGCAAGCTGTAAAACGGACCGAAACCGAGCATTCGCGTTCAAATCATAACCATCATAGAAGACCTTAGCTAAACTATCAACAATCACACCTTCTCTCAATCCATAACCTGAAACCAACATTTCTTTAATCCCAAGCAAATCAAATATCTCATCCAACAAAATCCCACCAGCAACAATGGACTCTGATCTTCTCTTGAAAAACCCATCTCTCTTTAAGTTTTGTCCCTCTCCTCCTTTACATAAGCGCTCGACAACACTCTTTAATTCATCTCTGGTAAAGCTCCAATCCCTTTTACATTCACTAAACAAAGCTTCGTTTTCAGCAAAATCCAATGCATACCCTTTGGAAACTGCTTTCTCAATGGCTCTTATTGTCCCTGATGACCCCAAAGCTATTTCAAACCCAAAAATTTTAACTTTCTCGATTAACCCAGATTCCTTAACGACATTCCTAATATACTCCCTCATATTCGGAGCTCTTTCAGCCTCTTCATCCCCGAAATTATGTTGAGTCAAAGTGACGTGACCAAGCTTCAAAGATGAACAAAATTCAACCTTTCCACGTAACCCGATGGCAAACTCAGTTGACCCACCTCCGATATCGACGTTCAAGACCAGATTATCAAAAACTGGCAAGAATTGAAGGGAACCCAGGTAAGAAAACCGGGCTTCTTCTTCGCCTGATAAAACTTCAACTTTGAACCCGGTGGTTTCGGCGACTGAGTCAATGAACTCGACCTTGTTCTGGGCCTCGCGGATGGCCGATGTGGCTACGCAGCGAGTGTGGAGAGGCGGGATATTATGGGCTTGAATAAGCTTATTGAAATTCAGAAGGGATTTGATGGAGAGGTTTTGGGAGTGGGTGGAGATTGTGGAAGAAGGCGAATCGTGACCTAAAACGACGGGCTCTTTGACGGTTAAAAGAGGGATGAATTTACCCGGGAGATGAGCTTGAACTATTAGGAGCTTGAAGGCATTAGTGCCCATGTCAATGGCTGCAAAGAGATTGTTGGCCATGCGAGATGGGATTATTTACTTTCTGTTTAAACATTCCAAAGTTTTGAAGGAAGACATGACCGAAGATACAAGGAGTGTGCTTTAAGGCCTGAGGAATGATTCAAAACAGCCCAAAATAACAAATCAAAATGGATCTAGAAAAAAATTTGAAGATGGTACAACATAATAATAATATAATTTTTTAAATATAAAAACACTAATAATATTTTAATTATAATAAAAAGTCTTACAAAAAAATACAGCTAAAATTAAATTTTACAATTACTCCCTTATAGGCTTCATGTTCTAATATCATCGTATAATCTTTTCATTGTCTATATTACAAATATATCTTTCTCAATAAAAGTAACTAAACAATCATTCAACTATTCATCTCCCATATAATTGCGCAGTCGATTCTTTATAAAATGCATCACAGAGAATGTTTTTTCCACCATCGCAGTTGCAACTAATAAAAACAAAGCTAACTTCAAAAGTAAATACACAAGTGGGTACACAACATGCTTTATTGTCTCAACCATCTTTTCAGATAAATCATAAAGTCCTTTTAGATCACAAAATCTTTCATCTAAACGAACATCAATAAAATAATTCTCAAGTTGACAATCAAACAACATTAGATTTCCTATAGAAAATTCACAAGGATAAAATTGTGTAAGACGAATCAACCTTTTTTTTATTTATCAAAATAACCATATGAGTCTCTTGGACTCAAGCAAGCCACACAAAGAAGTAACTCTGTACCTGTCTCGGAAAAATTATTATTAAGCTCTTGAAGTTGTCTATAAAATACTTGATAAAATAATTCAATCTAAAAATAATGCAAATTTAAAACTTCACGAGTTTTTCTCATATACCTTCCTGGAACAACAAATATATTTTCCATCCTTAGAACCTCAATGTTATTTTTTTCGTAAAACAAAGAAACTTCTTCAAATAAAGATTGTCATCTCACATCATTTGAAATCGCTGCTTGAACGCACTAACTAATTGTATAGCATTTGTTTTGATCACTCTGTTACAATGCTTGAAATAATTCACTAATAACCCCTAATAAATTTTTCATCAAGTACAAATTAAACACAAATTCAAAAGACTATAAAGAACTCAACAACATACAAGCTTCAGCTTATGGCTCTGAGTGTGTTCCATCTTCCTCAATAATTTTAAGTTCATTCATCACAAAAGAAAACATAGTAATCACTAACGGTAGATTTTGTTTAATTAATTATTTTTAGAATGTCATTATTATATATATATATATATATATATATATATATATATATATATATATATATAATCAGTAACGTTGGTCAGTGGTCATTAATAAATGGCAGTGTAAATTATAAAGGAAGATTTTGTTTAATTAATTATTTTTGGAACGTCATTATTAATTGCATATATATATATATATAATCACTAAATAAAATCTAAATTTCAAAATATTAATAATAAATGCATTTCAAAAATAAAAAATAATATGGTTTGAATCATATTAATACCAAACATTTGCATAACTTAAACAGCGAACATTAGTAATGCACTGTAAAATAAAATATGAATTAAATTAATGAATAACTATTAATAATACTATTGTTTAATTTATACATATAGCACTACAAAGAATTAAATTAAATATAAATGATTCAATCATTTAAAATCAAACAATAAATTTTGGACGTATGACACTGTGAATTAATAATGACAGTGTACAATCAAACAAAAATTAATAGTGGTTGTGACCTGCAATTAATTTGTGTTGTAAAGTTATTACTTGATCAATCTAGTAACATTTCACAAACAAATGACAATTGAATACACTATATTTTTCTCATTTTATATTATATGTGTCTTTTTTATGTTATAATTAAACTAATATTTCTTTATTTTTTTATTTAGACATATAAAAATATTTTAAAAGAAAGGCAACGATAAAGGATTCATGTTTGGTGAAAAAAAGAATTTTAGAAATTGACTTAGAAAATGGATCCGGAAAAAAATACCAAAGATTATAAAATATCATCTCAATGATCACGAAGAACTCTGAAGGGATTATTTGTTGAAAGGTCCTTGCCAACCAAAAGAACACAGTTCTTCTAACACAAGGTCCCCAAGAAGATGTATAATGATAAATTGCGAAGTTTTAATCCTAAATGGTTCAAAGAGCATAAAAGTTGGTTAGAATATAGTATATCTAAAGATGCAACATTTTGTTTACATTGTTACCTTATGAGACCTAAATCTAGAGGAAAGCAAGGAGGAGGTGATACATTTTGTTGTTGGTGGATTTAAGAATTGGAAAGACAAGAGCATATTACAACTTCACGTTGGAGGTCCTAATAGAGCTCATAATGTAGCTTTGAGAAAATGTGAAGCTTCAATGAATCTGAAACAACATGTTGAAGTTGTAATTGCAAAACAATCTGATCAAGCCAAACAAGAAAATCGAATTCATCTTACAACTACAATTGATTGCGTTCGATTCCTTTTGTGACAAGGATTGGCTTTTCGTGGACATGATGAGTCTCATGATTCTTGTAATCAAGGTAACTTTCTTGATCTTTTACATTTTCTTGCTACTCATAATGAAACTATTAACAAAGTTTTCAAAAATGCTCGTGGTAATCTTAATCTAGTAGCACCGACTATACAAAAAAATATTATTAGTGCAGCTGTTAGTGAGACTACTTGTGCAATTATTGATGATCTTGGAAATGATTTTTTTACTATTCTGGTTTATGAGTCTCGTGACATTTCATTTAAAGAGCAAATGACTATTGTTCTACGGTACGTAGATAAAAAAGGAATAGTTATTGAATGATTTATGTGTATTGTACATGTTTCTAATATTGATGTTGCTTCACTTATAAATGCTCTTGAATATATGTTTGTAATTCATGGATTATGTTTTTCAAGAATAACAGGACACGATTATGACGGGGCAAGTAATATGCAAGGAGAATTTAATGGGCTTAAAAGTTTGATTCTAAAAGATAACGAGTGTGCTTTTTATGTCCATTGCTTTGCACACCAACTTCAATTAGCATTTGTTGTTATTGCTAAAAAAACAAGTTGAGGTTGTTTTTCTTTTTAATTTGGTTGCTAGTGTGGTTAATGTGATTGGTGTTTCATGCAAGAGAAAATAATTTCCTCAATCTTGTTAAATGATTAAGGTAAGAGAAGAATTACAAAATGGTGAAATCTTCAATGGCCGTGGATTAAATCAAGAAACTGTTATAGAGAAAGCTAGAGATACTCGTTGGGGTTCACATTATAAAACTGTTGTTAGCTTGATTACTATGTTTTCTTCTGTGATGAATGTGCTTGAAATTATTGAGAAAGATGAAACACACTCACAACAAAGAGTTGGAGCTTGTATGTTGTTGAGTTCTTTACAGTCTTTTGAGTTTGTGTTTAATTGACACTTGATGAAAAATATATTAGGGGTTACTAGTGAATTGTCTCAAGCATTGCAACGGAGTGATCAAGACATTGTGAATGCTATGCAATTAGTTAGTGTGTCCAAGTAGCAATTACAAATGATGTGAGGTGTAAAATGACAATCTTTATTTGCAGAAGTTTTTTTGTTTTGCGAAAAGAATAACATTGAGGTTCCAAAGATGGAAAATATATTTGTTGTTCCAGGAAGGTCTAGGAGAAAAGCTCGTGAAGTTTCAATTTTGTATCATTTTCAGGTTGAATTATTTTATCGAGTGCTTGATAGACAACTCCAAGAGCTTAATAATCGTTTTTCCAAGATACATTACATAGTTGTTTCTTTGTTTGGGTTGCTTGAGTCCAAGAAACTCGTATTGTTCTTTTGATATAACAAAAAGGTTGATTTGTCTTGCACAATTTTATCCTTGTAAGTTTTTCACAATAGATCTAATGTTGCTTGATTGTCAACTTGAGAATTATTTTATTGATGTTCGATCAGATGAAAGATTTTGTGATCTAAAAGTAATTTATGATTTATTTGAAAAGATGGTTGAGACAATGAAACATGCTGTGTACCCACTTGTGTATTTACTTTTTGAAGTTAGATGTGGTTCTACCGATTGCAATCGCGACAGTGGAAAGAACATTCTCTGTGATGCACTTTATAAAGAATAGATTTCGCAACCGCATGAGAGATGAATGGTTGAATGATTATTTAGTTACTTTTATTGATAAAGATATATTTGTAATGTAGACAATGAAAAGATAATACAACGATATCATAACATGAAGCCTAGAAGGGAACAACTGTAAAATTTAATTTTAGTTGTGTTATACTTAAAATATTATTAGGATTTTTATATTTAAAAAAATATATTATTATTATATTGTGCCCGCCTTCAAATTTTTTTATGGATCCGCCACTTGTATAAGACCCATAATTATTTTGTACCAATAAAAAGTTCTTTTATGACCAAGGGTACAATTATACTAGTAATAAATGAATTTAATAATAAAGAGAAAAAATAAAATACATGTCACCAGTTTAATCTCGTTAATACATCTAATTATATTCCGTATGAAATTATTATGTAACATGTTCGCGTCTAATATACCGTCTTTAGAAACGCTTTCTTCTGCTTTTCTAGCAGCTATCTGTATTTTAACATGCTTCTTTTTACTTGCTTTTGCCTCCTTTTATGGATCCCACGATACAAACCAACCTAGCAAAACTCAATCTAGAGGATGAAGAAGATGAAGTCATTACTATTGCATCACCAAAACAGGATAATGGTTTGTCCTTCATTAACTGTTTTGTGGGATCTTTTCTTACAACAATTGTTATTCATTTCCAGGCGACGCGTACGACTCTAGCAAGTGTATGGCGACCCCTATGAGGAATAGCTATATCAGATATTGGTGAGGGAAGATTTCTGTTCAACTGTATCATGAAGTCAATATGTATAGGATCCAGGCTGGCGGTCCTTGGAATTTTAATTCCCATATGTTGATCTTACACCGGTTGAAGGAAGGTGAGAATCCTTTGAATGCCCCTCTAAACTCGGTCGACCTGTGGATACAGGTGCATGAGCTTCCGCCGGGATTTGTATCCACTTCTGTTGCCTAGTTGC